TCTGTATTCCTTCCATCTGTTTTTGGTTGCTTCCTGCTTCATTGAATATTTTGCTCATAGAATCTTTCAATATTGCAGTTTGAGGCTTGAATTTTTTTCTTCAGTTCTTTCAGCTTGAGAAATTCCAAGCATGTTCTTCCCTTTTTGTTTCCTAACTCCAGGTCTTTGCACATTTCATTATAATACTTTACTTTGTCTTCTCGAGCTGCCCTTTGAAATTTTCTGTTCAGCTCTTTTATCTTGTCATTTCTTCCATTTTCTTTAGCTGCTCTCCATGCAAGAGCAACTTTCAGAGTCTCTTCTTACATCCATTTTGGTCTTTTCTTTCTCTCTATCTTTTTTATGATCTTTTGGTTTCTTTAGGTATGATGTCCTTGATGTCATCCGACAACTCGTCTGGTTATTGGCTATTAGTGTTTGCAGTGACAGATGTGTTCTTGAGATAGTCTCTAAAGTCACGTGGAACATACTCAAGGTCATACTTTGGCTCTTGTGGACTTGTTTTAATTTTCTTCAGCTTCACCTTGCACTTACTTATGAACATTGATGGCCTGTTCTGCAGTTGGTCCCCGGCCTTTTTCTGATTGACAGTATTGAGCTTCTCCATCATCTCTTTCCATAGATGTAGTCCGTTTGATTCCTGTGTATTCTATCCGGTGAGTTTCATATATATAGTTGCTATTTATGTTGTTTGGGAGCTCTGGTGGCATAGTGCCTAAGGCATTTGACTGCTAACCACAAGGCTGGTGGTTCAAACCCACTGGCCAGTCCTGGGAAGGAAGATTACACACTCTACTTCTGTAGAAATATCACCTCAGAAACCCAAGGAAGGGTCGCTATGAGTCAGAAAATGACTTGATGACAGTGAGTTTGTTTTTTTTAATTTATGTTGTTGATAAAAGGTATTCACGATGAATAAATCATTGTTTTCCAAAATCCTGTCATGTGATCTCTGGCCTCATTTCTACCTCCCAGGGCGTATTTTCCAATTACTGATCCTTCTTTGTTTCCAACTTTCACATGCTCATCACCAGTAATAATCAGTAAATCTTGATTGCATGTTTGTCAGTTTCAACTGCAGAACTTGGTAAAAATCTTCAGTTTCTTCATCTTTGGCATTTATGGTTGGTGTATAAATTGGAATAAGTCATATTAACTGGTGTTCTCGAAGGCATGTGGATTTTATCCTATCACTGAGAGCAGTGTATTTCAGGATGGATCTTGATATGTTCTTTTTTACAATGAATGTGACACCATTCCTCTGTCATTGTCATTCCATGAATAGTAAACCCTATGAATGTCTGATTCAAAATGGCCAATACCAGCCCATTTCAGGTCACTAATGCCTAGAATGTCTGTGTTCCTGTGTTCCATTTCATTTTTAACAACTTCTAATCTTCCTAGATTCATACTTTGTACATTCCACATTCCAATTATTAATGGAACATTTGCAACTATTTCTTCTCATTTTGAATAGTGCCACATCAGCAAATGAAAGTCCTAAACCTTTGCTCCATCTGTGTCATTAAGGTTGACTCTACTTTGAGGAGACAGCTCATCCCTAGTCATATTTTGAATGTCTTCAGGATAACCTGAGGGGCTCATCTTCTGGCATTAAAGCAGAGAACAATCCACTGCTATTCATAGTTTCCACTGGCCAATTTTTTCAGAAGTAGATCACCAGGTCCTCCTTCCCAGTCTGTCTTAGTCTGGAAGCTCTGCTGAAACCTGCCCACCATGGGTGACCCTGCTGGGATTTGAAATATCAGTAGCACAGCTTCTAGCATCACAGCAACATGCAAGGCACCACAGACAGTATGACAAACTGATAAATGAGTGGTGGAAATTTTCTAGTAGCCACATTTAAAAAAAATTAAAAGAAACATGTGAAATTAATTTTTGTAATATATTTAGCTTACCCAAATATGCAACATAGTATCACTTCAACATGTAATTAATATAAAAAAAGTTAAGAGGCTATTTTACTTTTTTTTTGGTTATGTTTGAAATCCAGCTTCTATTTTATACTTACAGTATATCTCATTTTGAGCTAGCCACATTTTAAGTGCTCAGTAGTCACATGAGACTAGTGGCTATCATGTCAGATGTAATAGCCATAGAAGATGTAGGAATAAGGAAAGGTAAGCAAGTGAAAGAAGGACTAAATGCTTACATTTATTAAACATCTACTATGTTCCAGGCAGGGCGAGCAATGAACACAGTATCAACTCTTGTCTTTATTTAAAATTTTGATTTTTAGTCACCATTTAGTTTTTGCTTTAATTTGGATTTTTAACGTATTTTATTAATATATTATTTATCTTGATTACTGATTGTTTTTGTATCCCTTGCATTTTGCACCTGAGATGAGTCCTCTTTCACCTTACTCTTGTCCCAGCCCTCGTATCAAGTACTTATTTTTAAAATATATATATATATTTTATTAATTCAAAAACACAAAAGTGATCAGAATTACTGGTCAGATAAAGTCTGGTGGAACCCCCAAGGCTATGGCCCTACGTTACCCTTCCGGCCTAGAACTGAACTCACTCCCATGACTGGCTCTCAACTTAACAGTAGAAAGACTTACATGCAGAACACCTACCCCAGGGAGATGCACCCACCTACTCTAGGGAGATATACCTCTTACAGCAATAAGCCATGGGACACTAGAGGGACAGCATTAACTTAGAGGGAAAGCTGGACAGACAGGAGTGCATAGTTAAGAAGGGCACAGAGAGGGGTAGTTACAGGGATGGGAGGGGAAGAGAGTTTGCCATGGTCGGGAATGGTAATCGGGGTGTGAAATCAAATGTACACAAACTGTTGGATATAAGCAAATTTGCTCTGTAAATTTGCACCCAAAGCACAATAAAAATAAATAAATAAAAAGTAGGATCTGGTTTAGGTTTTAGAAGGTTCAAGTGGGCCCCTAAGATGCCCATCCTGGCTCAGCTGAGGAGTGCTGGGTATTGACAGGTTGGAATTGCTTCCATGTCATAGATAAGGAAACTGAGACTAAGAAAAGCTCAATGCCTTGCCTAAGGCAGATTCATGAGCTGTTTCCTGAAGATGCACAGGTCTATAGGAGGCCTTATGAAATTTTTCCTGTTTGGGAGGGAACCTCCAGAGAGCCAAACTAACCACATTATCTGCTAACTTCATAGAAAATGCTAGTGAATTTAGTCTTTCCAAAGGAGACATTAAGTTTACCTAATTTTTGAAAAATTAAACATTCACTTGTATTCAATAAATATAATATCCTAAAAAAAAATAATGTTTTATTGTGTTTTCATTGAAAATTTGCACAGCAAATTAGGTTCCTGTTGAACAGTTAATACACAAATTATCCAGAGACATTAGTTACATTTTTCACAAGGTATCAGTATTCCCATTGATTCCATTCTGGATGTTTAATTTCCAGGAATCTGTACCAGGTACTTTCTAAGTGGTTCCCTAATACTTCATCTGGGAACACAAATTTGAACCAAATTGAACTGTGTACCAAAAACAGGAGTGTATATACTCAGTAGAATTGAAAACAAGGACTGAACAGATACTTGTACACCAGCATTCACTGCAGCATTTTTCACGATAGCCAAGAGATAGAAACAACCCAAGTGTCCATCATTCCATCAACAGATGAATGGATAAACAAAATGTGTTGTGTACGTACCAAAAAACCATACTCACTGCCATCAAGTCAATTCGACTCATAGCGACCCCTCCTTGGGCTTCTGAGGCAGTATCTCTGTGGAAGTAGTTTGCCTAATCTTTCTTCTGAGGAGTGGCCAGTTAGTTTGAACCGCCAGCTTTCTGGTTAGCAGTCAAATAAATGTGTTAGGCAGTACGCCACCAGAGCTTATGCAGCCATAAAAAGAATGAAATTCCAACACGTGATACAACCTGCATGAACCTTGAAAACAGTATGCTAATTAAAATAAGCCAGACACAAAGGGACACATACTATATCATCCCCACCTACTTAAAATGTTTAAAATAGGTATGTTATTTCTGTTGTTGTTAGTTGCTGTTGAGTCATTGCTGACTCATGGTGACTCCACATGTATAACATAGAACTGCTCCATAGGGTTTTCAAGGCTGTGACTAAAAAGCACATCCCCAGGCCTGTCTTCCAAGGTGCCTCACGGAGCATTCGAACAGCCAGACCTTTTGGCTAGTACTTGAATGCTTAACTGTTTCTCCCTCCCAGGTACTCCAAAATAGGCATAGTGACAGAAAATAGATTAATGGTAACTATGGGCCCGGTGAGAGGGGAAAATGGGACTTACTCCTTACTGAGTACAGAATTTCTGTTTGAGTTGATGAAAAAGTTTTGGAAACAAGTAGTGGTGACAGTTGCACAACATTATGAGTATAATTAATACATTATGAGTATAATTAATTGATGTACAATTGAAAGTGGTTAAAATGGCAAATTTTGTTACATATGTTTTACCACATACTCGTCAAAAAAAAAAAAAAAGCAAAAAGGAGTGAACTCTACTAATTTACTAAATCATTGATTTTTAAAATGAATTTTCAATTGAATTCAAATTAGGAAAAAAAAGATACTGGTAAACAAATTGAAATCCAAACCAAGTCTATACACCAAACTGAAAAATGTGAGGGCCAAACATAAGCCAGGAGCTAGCTCATTAATTTTGATTCCCTCATCAAGATAACCTGTGACCATCATACTTCCTAAATCACAGAGGAAAAGAATGAAAACAACTATTTTTAAAGACGATTCTATCCTAGGCCTATTTCCTTCCTATGCCATAGCTTTCATCTATTTTTAAGGGGTCAGTATTTGCAGTCCCCCTCTATAGTAGGTATGTTGGAAATCTTACCTTAAATTAATTTTAAAGCTGAAAGAAACTGTCTGTACCATGGTTATATTGGGAATGTCACATTAAAAGGAACTTTAATGCTGAAAGAAAAGTCTTGCTTATTACAGTGGTGCATGTTTTCAAGCAAAACCCTTCTCTTTCTTTTAGGGAGCTCAGAGACAAAGCAAATATACAATTTGGGGACAATGGAACAACAATATCTGCTGTTAGCAACAAGGCCTATGTTTTTGAACAAGATCTATCCGTCGGAGACCCTAAAATTGATTTGATTAGAACATTAAATATTCCTGTAGTGGTAAGTGGGCATTTTGGTATTATTATTGCGAATTTTAGAAGAAAGAGAAAAGCTAAGTTAAGACAAGTGTGGTTTTACACTTAGGAGCTATTAAGTTATATTAAAAATGTGTGTGTGTGTGTGTGTGTGTGTACTTCGTCTCATCTGCTTTAGTCTTGTCAGAAGGGACCATTCCCTGGAGAAGGATATTGTGCTTGGTAAAGCAGAGTCAGTGACAAAGGGGAAGACTCTCAACAAGATGAACTGTGTGGCAGCAGCAATGGGCTCAGGAATAGCAAGTATTGTGAGGCTGGCACAGGACTGGGCAGTGTCTCGTTCTGTTGTATATAGGGTCTCTATGAGTCGGAGCTGACTCGATGGCATCTAACAAGTACATACATACATATACATTTACATTTTGCCCTTCCTCTCTTTTCAGACTATTTTTCTGAGGTTTATCAACCAAGATCTTGTCAAAAGGTGACAGAATGCAAATTTAAGATTTGTTTTCACAGTCTCTTGCTGTATGTTCAGGATCAGCACTTGTGCAAATAAATAAGCCCTAGGATTTTCCCTGAGTGGCACAGACGGTTAAATGCTCAACTAGTAGACGAAAGCCTGATAGTTTGAACCCTCTGGAGATGCCTCAGCAGACAAGCCTGGCAATCTGCTTCTGAAAAATCAGAGCCTTGAAAAGCCTATGGAGCAGTTCTGCTCTGTACACTTGGGGTTATCATGAGTCAGAAGCAACTTGACAGAAACTAATAACAACAAAAACAGTAATTTAAAAAATATCTGTGGCTTGGTTTGTTTCAGAAACTAGCCAATATAATTTGCATAAAAAACCAAAATGCACTGCTGTCAAGTCAGTCCTACTGATAGCAACCCCTCCTTAGGCACTATGCCACGAGAGCTCCACACTTTGCATACCACTCCAAATTCAGATTTCTATCTTGGATTTTAAATTTTCAGAATATGTATTTGACTTTTTTTCCTTTTCAAATAGCAAAGACTGGGCTATTGAGTGCAACCTACTGTGATTTAATTGGGCTCTCATCATAATGACAAATCATTTGATAACACCTACACTAGACACTTGAGCCATATTCCCCTACAACAGCCCCGTTGGAGATTCACACCTTAACTCTTAGATGACCAGTACATATTCAGCTGAATCTCATGGTAGACCCAGGATCTGAAGCATTTAGTTCTCAGATAGAGCCCTGCCCTCCTGATAGGGCTGGTTACCTTATGGTCAAAGATGCCAATGTAGTTACAAGAGCTTTTACCCCTTCACTATAAGTAGGAGCTCTGGTGGTGTAGTGCCTAAGGCATTTGACTGCTAACCAGAAAGCTGGTGGTTCAAACCTACCAGCCACTCCTTGGCAGGAAGGTTGGGCAATCTACTTCCGTAGTGATACTGCCTCGGAAACCCAAGGAGGGGTCGCTATGAGTTGGGTCCGACTCGATGGCACATAACAACAAAAACAACATGACGTATGAAAGGGAGCTCTAGTGATCTGTTAATCAAAAGTTTGGAGGTCAAACTTACCAGCCACTCTGCAGAAGAAAGATGAGGCAATCTGTTTCTGTAAAGATTTACAGCCTTGGAAACCCTATGGAGCAATTGTACTCTGTCCTAAACGGTCACTAGGTGGCAGTGGAAGTGCTTCGGTATAACATATGAGGTTCTTAGGTATTGCAGACTATTAACTACTAGCTGAAACTGTTAACCCTCAACTACTAGCCAAAAGTTGGCAGCTCAAACCTGTCCAGAGGCACCTTGGAAGATAGCCTGACTGTCTTCTTCCAATAGGTCACAGCCTTGAAAACTCTGTGGAGCAGTTCTACTCTGCGCACATGGATCTCCATGAGCTGGTATTGACTCAGCAGCAACTAACAACAACAATAACATAATTCATAGAACTTGTAATTACAGACCTAAGATCCATGAGAAAAGACAATAACTGAAGGGTCTTATTCTTCCTCATGCTAGCTCATTTTTCACCTATTTAATCTCAACACTTCAGCCGCCATTGCTGAAGGAGTAGAAAAGAGTAGGATGCTGGTGTGTTGAAGGGGACATTGGTATCTGAATTTTCCTTTGCTCCTTAGACTGCCATGGAATGGGCCCATAATCACTTCCTTAAAGAGATCATCGAGGCCATGATGAAGGCCTATCAGCAGAAGCTGTTTGTGGTACACACCGTCCATGACTTGCTCTGGGGCTACAAGGATGAGCTCTTATCCCTCATCAGTGTTTTCAGACCTGACATCTCTCCCTATTTTGGTTTGTTCTATGGGGTAAGTTGATTTTTTTTTTCTTTTCAGAGCCGCTTTGTTCTTCTGAAGTGGGACACCTCAAGCCAAATTTCATCTTAACTTTGGGTTTCTTTCAGGAGAACAGCAAAATTGCCTGGAGTTCTGGGTGTCTTGTAGAGTACATGAAAAATAAGATTATTTTAGCAGAAGGAGCTCTGGTGGTTGCTATGGTTAAGGCACTGGGCTGTTAACCAAAAGGTTGGCAGTTTGACACCACCAGCTGCTCCACAGGAGAAAGATAAGGCAGTCTGCTTTCATAAAGATTTACAGTTTTGGAACTCCTATGGGAGTCACTATGATTTTGTATTGACTTGATGGCATGGATTTGGTTTTGGGCTTTTTTTTTTAAGCAGAAAAAAAAGACAAACTCCCTGCCGTCAAGTCGATTTTGACTCATTGTGACCCCTCCTTGGGTTTCCAAGGTGGTATCACTACAGAAGTAGATTGCCCAACTTTCCATACAAGGAGTGGCTGGTGGGTTTGAACCACCAGCCTTCTGGTTAGCAGTCAAATGCCTCAGGCACTACACCATCAGATCTCCTGTTTTAGCAGAAGGGAATGAAAAAAAAAAAAAAAACCCTTGAGAAAATAGATAGTTGAGAGATTGGTAAAAAACAAACTTAACCTCAAGAAAAAAGTGTTAAATTTGGGTTGGAATCTGGGATTGTGATGTGTTTGCCCATCTTTAATTTGCAGTTATTATGTGGCTATTCAAGAATTTCACCTTTATTATTCCATAATCTTCCTCTCTTTATTTTTTCAAATTTTTATTGTGATTTGGGTGAAAGTTTACAGAGCAAATTCATTTCCTCAGTTGATGGACATCTAGGTTGTTTCCATCTTTTGGCTATTGTAAATAGTGCTGCGATGAACATGGGTGTGCATATATCTGTTCTTGTC